CGCTCGTAACAGGCATCCACTGTGATACCTCTTCACGTACCATGACTCGTTGCTGCCTCCCTGTCAGGTATTCCCTGATCCATTGCAGTGCCCTCCCTGTTATATGCACCTGATCCTCCAGCTTCTGCACTAATCTCTTATGGGGAACTGTGTCAAAGGCCTTCCTGCAGTCTAGGAAAACGCAATCAACCCACCCCTCTCTCTCGTGTCTTACTTCTGTTACCTTGTCATAAAACTCCAGGAGGTTTGTGACACAGGATTTGCCTTCCATGAACCCATGCTGGTTTTCATTTATAATCTTGTTCCGTTCCAGGTGTTCCACCACTCTCCTCCTGATAATCTTCTCCATGACTGCACACAATACACGTAGTTTAGTGCCTCATTTCTGTTTCCTTTCTTAAATATGGGGACTACATTTGCTGTCTTCCATTTCTCAGGTAGTTGCCCAGTTTCAAGGGATGTGTTGAAGATTGTGGTTAGGGGCACGCACAGTATCTCTGCTCCTTCTCTAAGGACCCATGGGGAGATGTTGTCCTGTCCCATCGCCTTTGAGGTATCAAGGTCACTTAGCAGCTTCTGCACCTCCTCCTCGGTTGTTCGTATGTCATCCAACACCTGTTGGTATATTTCCTCTTGGTGTTCCCTTCTGTGCTGTCTTCCCACAGCCCTTCCTGTCTCTACTGTAAAAACTTCCTTAAATCTCCTGTTTAGCTCCTCACATACCTCCTGATCATTTCTTGTGAGTTCTCCACCTTCTGTCCTCAATCTGATCACCTGGTCTTTGACTGTTGTCTTCCTCCTGATGTGGCTATACAACTATTTCGGGTCAGTCTTGATTTTCGATGCTGTGTCATTTTCATACTGTTGCTGGGCCTCCCTCCTTACCTGTGCATACTCGTTCCTGGCTCTGCGACTGATCTCCCTATTTTCGTGTGTTCTCTGCCTTCTGTACTTTTTCCATTCTCTATTGCATTTTGTTTTTGCCTCCTTACACCGTCGGGTAAACCAGGGGCTCGTTCTGGTCTTCCCATTGTTTCTGTTGCACTTGGAAATAAACCTTTCCACTGCCTCCTTGCATTTTGTTACATATTCCATCATTTCGTTTACTGTCTTTCCACGGAACCTCCTGCAGGAAGTTCCTCAACCCTATGTAGTCCCCTCTTTTATGGTCAGGCTTTTCCCATTCAACTCCTGTTACTCTCTTCACTTGCAACTCTACTATGTATTCAAAGCACAGAACCACGTGGTCGCTAGCTCCTAGGGGACTCTCATACGTGATGTCCTCAATGTCTGAACTGCCCAGGTTGAACACAAGGTCCAATCTTGCTGGTTCATCCTCCCCTCTCACTCTGGTAGTGTCCTTAACATGTTGGTGCATGAGGTTTTCCAGCACCACGTCCAACAACTTGGCTCTCCATGTTTCGGGACCTCCATGTGGCTCCAGGTTTTCCCAGTGTGTGTGTGTGTGTGTGTGTGTGCGCACGCGTGTGTGTGTGTCCGCGTGTGTGTGCGCGCGTGTGCGTGCGTGCGTGTGTGTATGCTCACCTATTTGTTGCAGGGGTCGAGACTCAGCTCCTGGCCCCGCCTCTTCACTATGTGTGTGTGATGTATCAATATCAGTACACATAAACTGAGAGATATACAATGAGAAATGTAATGCATCCCAGTACATAGAGCAAGACTTAATTTCTCATTTTTAGAGATTAAAATTTTCTTGTTATTGTACAGGTGAACCACAGTCTTACTGACGAACCTTGCTTAGTGAAGTGGTTCTGAACCTAAAATTTACACTGAAGAAGGTAAAAGCAATCTCTTATATTCCAGTAATATTTAATACCATCAAATATGCAGTGAAATACCAAACTTCTTCACAATGTATTATGTAATATTTGAGTCCAACAAATCATTGTATTAATATTACCATTATATTAGTATGATCATTATATTAGTATGGTCATTATATTATGGTCATTATATTATTACCATTATATAGTATGATCATTATATTAGTATGGTCATTATATTATGATCATTATATTATTACCATTATATTAGTATGATCATTATATTATTACCATTATATTAGTATGATCATTATATTATTACCATTATATTAGTATGATCATTATATTATTACCATTATATTAGTATGATCATTATATTATTACCATTATATTAGTATGATCATTATATTACCATTATATTAGTATGATCATTACATTATTACCATTATATTTGTGCGATCATTATATTATTACCATTATATTAGTATGATCATTATATTATTACCATTATATTGGTAATAATATAATGATCATACTAATATAATGGTAATAATATAATGATCATACTAATATAATGGTAATAATATAATGATCGCACAAATATAATGGTAATAATGTAATGATCATAATAATATAATGGTAATAATATAATGATCATACTATTATATTAGTATGATCATTATATTATTACCATTATATTTGTGCGATCATTATATTATCATTATATTAGTATTGCTCACTAGTATGGATCATACAGAGCCTGGATCATGATAATTAACATTCCACAATGGCAGTTTTTACCATTATGGACAAGGAATTATTACCATTTTTGCTACGAAATTAACCTAAAAATCGATCACCTAAAAATAATACATGTAAGACGCATTTTATTGAGACACTGCGTCTTACATGTATATGAAGTGCCGAATAGGTAAAATTGCTCAATTAACAAGAACGCAACTCATTTAAAATTAAGTCCTTTCCAAAATTTTCTCTTATACGTTTGAAGATATATTTTTTTTTCATATATGTTAATGGGGAAATTAATAATTTTGTACCAAAAGAACCTTAGAAAACTTGCCTGACCTTATAATAACAAGCTCAATTTAATTTAGCCTAATCCAACTAAATATATTTTAGATAAATTCACAATAATTTAATAATAAACAAACACAATGAAATACTATACACACAAATTTTCGTTTGCCTCATTCGGCAAGAAGGGCACTGCAATTTAAGCCAAAATCGCAAGTTTTTACCTGTTCGACATGACTATATAATATATATATATATATATATATATATATATATATATATATATATATATATATATATATATATATAATTGGTCAGGGATTATTTATTTAAAAGGCACAAACGTGAATACAGTAGCACACTATATCAAACATTATGAACCTTCTCCAGCTTCTCTTAAGCAAGACGGAAGCCAAGTATTTAGCAAGAATATATATGAATATATATATATATATATATAATATATATGGGTAGAATGAAAAGGGGGTAAAGCAGCTGGGATTGATGGGATAAAGGTAACTAGGGACTGGCAGAGAGCGTTCATAGTTCCTTTGTATAATTGCAAAGAAGGCAAAAGAGATTGTAAAAAATATAGTGGAATAAGCCTGTTGAGTATCCCTGGTAAAGTGTATAGTAGAATTATTATTGAAAGAATTAAGAGGACGACAGAGAGCAGGATCGCAGAGAACAAGGAGGCTTTAGGAAGGGTAAGGGGGGTGTAGGAGTGTTTACGGTGAAATATATAGGTGAACAGTATTTAGATAAGGGTAAAGAGGTTTTTGTTGCTTTTATGGATTTGGAAAAGGCATATGATAGGGTGGATAGGGGAGCAATGTGGCAGATGTTGCAAGTATATGGAATAGGCGGTAGGTTACTGAAAGCAGTTAAGATTTTTTACGATGTTAGGGAAAAGCTCATTAGATAGGAGTGGCAGAAGTATGAATGAATGGTGGTTGTAGTGTTGGGCAGTATGCTTGTTCTGTTCGGTGTATGCATCGTTCCTGCTACCCCATTCCCTTCTGCATCTGGTGGGAGGTGATGAGTGTCCTTCCGACCGGTTGTCACTCGCTTGACTTTTGGCTTCCATCAAATCTGTTAGTATTCATTCCACTCCTGTTTTATTTGTTGTGTTTAGGTTAATTTTGTTTCAACAAGAGCTTCACTCTTGTTTAAGTTTTTATGTTGTAAATTCTTCCTGTCCTAATTTTGGACTTGTGTAGCGTAATGTCATCATCTAATCATCCTCATTTCTCTTAAAGGCAGTACGCCTCTCTTGTGAGCGATTTCACGATTGGTGAGTAATTTTGTATTTCTTGATTTTAGTCTTGATTATCGGCTCAATTCGTCCGACACAGGCGTGATAAGAAGGGCAGCATTGATCTTGAAAAGATCTTATAATCAATCTGGCATCTGTACCTACACTGGTCCCCCTTCCACTCACAGCCGACCCGTAATCAACTACACACCATTCTAGCAGCCGTTCCCCAGTTATAAACCCACCAACGTTTCATGGTTTTTCTCTACTGGCGACTGCTTCACAAGTGTTGTGGTGGTCAGAGGACCACAGTGCCTCTGTTCGTCAGAATCTCTACCCGTGTTGGGGTCACTGTCTACTCAGTGTGTCAACAGTCATATCCACCTGTGACTTGCCCCCCACCCCCCATGGTCATCAACAACCGCTCAGCGTTCCAAACCACGAATCAGAGCTACATGCCCAGACTGTTCACATATTAGCTTTGATTATTATTATTATAATCAAGGGGGAAGCGCTAAACCCGGAGGATTTAGTAGCTTTAAGTCACAAATTATTTATATATTTCATTTTTCATTTCCTTGCTTCAAGTAGGATTAATTTCATGTTTATGGAATTGTTTATCTTATGTTATCATTAATTTTTCTATCTTTTAATTTCCATAAGGAGGAACCAGCCTTATCAAATACTCTTTGAGGGTCTGATAGTGCTGCCAGACCTTCACATACGAGTATAGTGAAGCTCAGGTTAGAGTATGTAGGAGAGAGGGATATTATTTCCCAGTAAATTAGGCCCTTAGACAGTAATGCGCAATGTCACCATGGTTGTTATTTATAGATGGGGTTGTAAAAGGAGTGAATGCTTGGGTGTTGGTAAGAGGTGTGAGATTAAGAAATAAAGAATCTAACACAAAGTGAGAGTTGTCACAGTTGCATTTTGCTGATGACACTGTTTTTGGGAGATTCTGAAGAGAAGTTACAGAGGTTGGTGGACGAGTTTGGAAGGGCATGTAAAAGAACGAAATTGAAGGTAAATGTAGGTAACAGCAAGGTGATGAAAATAAAAAAAAATAGGTAATGAAAGATTGGATATCAGATTGGAGGGAGGGAGTAGGAAGTGAATGTATTCAGATGGGAGAGGACTTGTATGAGAGTATAGTGGTACTCTCATATAAGTATATGAGAGCATGGGTGGTGAATGATGCAACGAGGAGAAGGCTGGAGGCAATGGAGATGTCGTGTCTGAGGGCAATGTGTGGTGTGAATATAATGCAGAGAATCCATAATTTGGAGATTAGAAGAAAGAGTAGGGTTTTAAAAAATTATTATCCAGAGGACTGAGGAGAGGTTGCCGAGGTTGTTCAGTCATTTAGAGAGGATGTAACAAAATAGAATGACTTGGAGAGTGTATAAATCTGTAGTGGAAGAAACGGGTTGTCTTAGGAAAGGTTGGAGGGAGGGAGTAAAGGAAGTTTTGTGTGAGAGTTTGGACTTGGATCCATCAAGTGTGCGTGAGCGTGTTAGATAGGAACGAGGGGTGATGAGTGGCTTTTATGATTTAGCCTCTTGCTGGTGTGAAGGGATTCAGAGAAACCGATTAGCCGGACTTGAGTCCTGGAGGTGGAAAGTACAGTGCCTGCACTCTGAAGGACGGGTGTTTATTTGTTGCAGTTATTTAGTTTTTTAACGGTATTGTAGGCACGCGTCTGGCAAGACATTAATGGATTGAGGAAAGTGTTTCTTCTTTCTCGGGTCACCCTCCCTTGGTGGGAAACGGCTAATGTGCTTATGTATACACACACACACACACACACACACACACACACACACACACTATATATATATATATATATATATATATATATATATATATATATATATATATATATATATATATATATATATATATATATATATAAATAAATTCATACTGATTGCCAGGAGGTTCTGCAAAAATTTATTTAATAAATATCTTGACTTTGTCGTATACCTGCTGCGAATTCCATGACAATGCCTCATTTATGGCACGGCAGAACTCTTGAATCTTCTCTGGTTTCTTCTTGTACAAGACTTGACCATGTACGAAAAAACCATCGATAGTATTTGTCTGCTGTAACTCGTCACGAAGGTGCTGTAGCAGGAGTCTGTATCCTGCCCCTGAAATAAGTGAAATATAGTCGATTGATAGTTGTTTAATTAATTCTTTTCTTAGTGTTTCAATGTTCAGAAGCGCAGTTGCAGAGATGACCAAACACCTAGATGGTTCACTATTTATTTTTAATATGTTACAACAAATTATTTTTGAAAACTGTTACATTCACAGTGATGGGGGAGGGGGAGGAAGAAGCCATGAGCGCTAAATCCGAAGGATGTCGTGCAGCTGTTGGGCGAGTGAGAGGTAATCAAGCTTTATCCAATCATGGTGTAATAGAGTACACAATGCGTGTTAAAAGGATTACTGGCAAAGTGAGGAGATGGATCTTCAACTTTCTAAGCAATCAAACAAAACTAAGTCAGATGCTGCCACAGTGAAAAGCTCTGTTCCACAAGGTACAGTACTCGCCCCCATCCTGTTTCTCATCTCATATCAGACTCAGACAGAGATTTAAGCCCTAACACATTGCAGACAATGATAGAATATGAGACACTGTCATCCGTCGAGGACACGGTAAATCTCCAATCGAATATAAACCAAGTTTTTCGCTGGCAACGGAAAACAATGTGATGTTTAATGAGGACAAATTTCAATTACTCCGTTATGGAAAAACTGGAGGAAATAACTAGAACTGAGTATACTACAAACTCTAACTACACAATAGAGCGATAGTGTGAATGACTAGGGAGGGTTAATGTTAGAGGATCTCACTTTCAGGATCACAACAGTGTCACTCACGTGCCAGGAAAATGATAGGATGAATACCTGGAATATATCTGGAGAGCATTTCGGGGGTCAACGCCCCCGCGGCCCAGTCTGAGACCAGGCCTCGTGGTGGATCAGGGCCTGATCTACCAGGCTGCAGACAAAATGAGAACTTTCAAAACAAGGGATGCCATGCCAGTGATGATCCTTTTTAATCCCTCGTTCTCTCTAAACTGGAATACTGCTGTACACTTACCGCTCCAAATAAGGAGGGTGAAATCACAACTCAAGAGAATGTACATGGTTTAGCGCTTCTTTTTTATTATAACAGAGGATGTACACAGAACAATCACTGCAGTAAAACATCTTAATTACTAGGAACACTTGGATTCAGTGGACCTTTGTCACAAAATTTGACATCTACTAAGTGAAGATGTCTCTAGAGAATGCTAGGTCAGCTTATTGATCCCTCTCTATTATCTAGCCTGCAACAATTTGCAACTGGATTGCAACTGAATGAATACAAACCAACTAAATGAAAGTTGAGAAGTTTAATAACAAAGGTATTTAGGTGATAATTACAGAAATGTAGTTTGAATAATTAAGGAGATGAGCTTCTACACAACTCTTGAAGTATAACTTAGTATACTTATATATCACAGTTATTTTATACAAACATGTGATGAGATACTATACAACTCTTAATAAGCACCGTCTGGTATGTTGCAATGCCGAGATATACTTATAACTACAAGAGTAAGGGTGTGTAAGTGCTCGGTATGTGCTCACATTGACCCGACCGAGACTTAAAATGTGACTGACAACAAGTCCCTAAATAAGTTCATTTCTGGACCATCAAAGCACTCAAACAGCTTGCTTGAACAGTATGACAGCCCATTTACTAAATGCTGAAAGCAGCAGTGAACAGCACAGCGTCAGGGACACCAAAAATTAACCTAATTGTGAACCTTCAGTAGATCCTACACCAAAGGCATAAAAATCCTTTGTTACTGAAACTGAGTTCAGCCATTCCAATTTCCGAACTACGGCAGTGCATAGATGCCAAAACAAAAGTAGGTCAAGAGCCGAACTCGGGACCAGAGATATGTCCCAGTATCAGAGACATATTCTCCCAAGAAGAGTCTAAATCACATAAACTGAGAAAAATAGCATTCTTCCTACAGAGAGAGGGACAAGATGTTTCCTCAGTGAGGAGCAATGAGAAAGGGAGAAGCAGAGCCTGCAGATACAACATTAGATTACTGGTACCATCTAGTGCCTGGCACAAACTGCTTAAAAAGTGCTGGCAGCCAATCAAAACTCTCCAACAGTTAATACAATAAGCTAATAATATACATAAGCTAATAATACATAAGCTAATAATATAAGTTAAATATAAAGCATGAAATTTTCATTTTAGCCATTGATGAAAACAATATAAAATTACATGAAAAGAAAATATACCACGAGTACACTGAGAGACAAAATAATTGTCAGGGGCCCAGGACTGTTCAGCTGCCTCCCAGCATATGTAAGGGGGATTACCAATAGACCCCTGGCTGTCTTCAAGAAGGCACTGGATAGGCACCTAAAGTCAGTAACTCACCAGCCAGGCTGTAGTTCATACATCATTTTGCAACACCCTGGATGATCAGACCCAGATCCACCACGAGACCTGGTCTCAGACCAGGCTGCTGGGGCGTTGACCCCAAAACTCTCTCCAGGTATATACAAAATAATTATTGCATCCTTCTCACAGGGCGCAACAACCTATGCTCCCTGGCACGCATACGACATAGTAATCTTCATCTGGAAGATCTTAGAGAGATTGTTCCCAAATCTGTACACAAATTCCCTACAAAAGCAAAAGACTGAAAAGTAAGACTGAAATGTAATATCACCATGAATACGCTACAGGGCCCAAGACTATTCAACAGCCTCCTACCATACATAAAAGGAATTACCAATAGACCCTCTGGCTGCCTTCAAGAGGAGCCTGGACAGATACATATAGTACCAGATCATCTGGTACTATAGGTTTCTGTACTACGTGCAGCAAGCAGTAATAGCCTGGCTGATCAGGGCTTTATCTACCGGGAGGCCTGGTCCGCGGGGGCGTTGACCTCCAGAACACTCTCCAAGTAGGTAGACAAATGGTTCAGAGAACCGACAAGTTGATAAATTAGACGCGTGTAACACATGGGTGTCTTTAATGAGGAAACGTTTAGCAACACAGTGGTTTCATCAGTCCATACAAAGGAAAATGGTGAAAACAGCAGGAGTTTGAGGTAATCAGTCCCTCAGCCTTGAGTCGATGTAATCAGTCAATAAATCTTGAAAAGAATACAGCATATGTGCGAAGTGGCTTATGTACTGTAGGCACTTGAGGTGCGGCAGTCGTAGGTGGTGTCACATTTGATAAATGTGAAAGTTGGTCATGACTAAAGGTTAGGCATGTGAAAAATTCCTTGTATTAAGATCCCCAGATGTTGTTGTGTTGCATCTCTCCTGCCTGCAGTATATAAGCCACTTCTTCGCACATATGCTGTATTCTTTTCAAGATTGATGGACTGATTACATCGACTCAAGGCTGAGGGACTGATCATCTCAAACTCCTACTGTTGTTCACCATTTTTCTTTGTTTGGATTGATGAAGCCACTGTGTGGCGAAACGTTTCCTCATTAAAGATACCCAACTGTTGCATGTGTGTCTAATTTATCACCCTCCAAGTAGACTCAAGGTAGGTTCAACTCTAGATCAAGAGCCTCAAGCAGGCTTCAAATGACCTCTGTGAAAAGGTGCACTTCAAAAGCAGCGAAAATCGACTATATCTGCAATTTTTTTAGTGTATACTGATGTGCTATAAATTTTTACTTTCTATGGTTTTTGAGCTCACTGCTTTGAAATGTAATTTGTTATGCATTTTGTGATAGTTATGCTAACTAATGTGACCGTTGCAGTGCTTTATTAAAAACTGATTTTAAGGGCTTTTATAACATAGTTTTGTGAAATGGGCTCTGGTGGCCTGGTGGTTAACGCTCTCGCTTCACACGGTGAGGGCCTGGGTTCGATTCCCAGCCAGAGTAGAAACATTGGACGTGTTTCTTTCCACCTGTTGTCTATGTTCCCCATCAGTAAAATGGGTACCTGGGTGTTAGTCGACTGGTGTGGGTCGCATCCTGGGACACTGACCTAAGGAGGCCTGGTCACAGACCGGGCCGCGGGGGCGTTGACCCCCGGAACTCTGTCCAGATAAACTGATGCATATGTAATCTGCCTTTTCTTGAAATACGATTTTCCACCATATTAATAACAGATTGGCTGTCATTTGTTTTCACCCATGGCCTGGTGGCTGAAGCTCTCACGAGGGTCCGGGTTCGATTCCCGGCGAGATTAGAAACATTGGGCGTGTTTCCTTACACCGGTTGTCTGCTCCATTCAGAAAATGGGTACGTGGGTGTTAGTCGACTGGTGTGGGTCGCATCCTGAGACAAAAACTGACCTAATTTGCCCGAAATGTTCTACATAACAAGCGGCTTTCTGTGTAGTAGTATGTCATGTAGTAGTACATGTACTTGTAGAAATAGATATTATTATTATTACTATTAGATACCCACAAGCCCAACAGTTTTCATCGTGGTCCCAGTTATTATGTCCCATCGTTATACTTCAGATTAAAAAAGGAGTCCTTTGCCCATCTCTTCTTTCTGATCTTCCTGTCACTTATTTCTCCCAGCGTAAAGTTACTCTGAGCCACTGCCAGTGGGTCCTTATTTCCAACTTTTCTCTTCCTTTAAACTCAAACTCACAATGTTTTTCCTAGTTTCACAGTTCATGAAAAGTCTTGAGTATATCTTATAGATAAATGAAGTTTTAGTGTACAAAGATATTTAAACATACATTTTGTCTGATGTTGCAACTCGTCAGAGAACTTGACTGCGAGGCGTTTGATATAGAAGGACTTCAGAGTGAACTTTTTTTTCCAGTCACAAGCTAATCCAACCAGCTTCACCATTCGAACCATGTCTCTGATTTCAACTGAAATGCGAAAAAGTGCCTTAAATAAGATTATATGTTTAGTCGAAATAATAGTAAATTAAAATTACTTTCCTTCCTTACCTTTGTACACACTGGAATGACTACAATTTGGTAGCCGTCTACATTTTTAATGGTTAATGTGAAACAAAGAAACTTGAAACTGGAGCCGAGTAGCCAACAGAAATCTTTAAGATGTATAGGTTAAAGAGATTAAATATAGAAATTGTGGAAAATTACATTTATCTGGATGTAACTCATAATGTACATACCAGTAAATGATAACAAAGATTATTATTTATCAAAGTTACATAGACAAGTAGGAATTTGGGACACCTAGGTCGCAAAAATGTCCCCCTTCGATACCTACCACTGTCATATCCACAAGTTGCTCTAGACCTATTAATTACAAATGAAATATGCATCACCAGGAATGCTGGTAAATATATAAGTTTGTGGACTGTATATTAAAATTAATAAATGATTATATATATACACATTTATATAACAGAAGGAGAATATATCTTAATATCACTCACCAATTTGACTGGAGATTAAGGTGTATCATACTCAAAAAACCTCACTGTCTATCCATGAAAATAACACTGGCCAGAGTTACAACATAAACAGACTTATCTAAGGTTCCTGGAGCTGTCTTGTCCAGTCGCCTGATATCTCAAGTTATGCAGGAATGCACATCCAACAATTTCGGCTCTTATCTGAGAGGTTTTAAGCCCAATATAACCTCTAGAGCACGAAAATTCTTCCGATTATTCACTAACGTTTGAGTTGACTAGTTCAAACATGGCGAGTCTCTCTTCTGCGCAGGCGCAGAGCTTCCCATTTTTTATAACACAATTTTTATTAAATACAGCAGAGGCCATCTATTTACATGTAAACTACTGTATTTCCGGAAAATTACCGGCGAATAAAAAAAAAAAATATACAGTATTTTCCACAGAAATATTTGAATATAGAATATAGAAAAAAATGAACATTTTAAAAATAAATTAAACAGTTCAGCTCATGGAATAATAAATATAAACTATAAATTAATGTAAGCGATGATTTAAAATTAAGAAGTATATAGTCATGATTGAATTGAACTGTGTTACAACATCGACACCATGCCTAACCCTTCTAGGGTAGGGTAGGTGCCTGAGCCCGAGCCTTTAGCTCGTAAGACTGTCATTCCCATTAGCCCCCTTGGGGCGGGGATGGCAGACCAGAGAGGCCTAGCTTGTGGCTAGGCCTGGGGACAGTTGGTCCCAAAGATGAGGAGGTACTTGTGCCTCCTCCCATGGGAGACTTAGGTCTCAGACACTCCCTAAAGAGGGAGCCAAGGCCGGGCCACCACTTGGACAAGGCCCGGGCCGGGAGAATACCGGCTAATCTTTAACTAACTGTGTTACAACATCGATACCATGCCTAACCCTTCTAGGGTAGGGTAGGTGCCTGAGCCCGAGCCTTTAGCTCATAAGACTGTCATTCCCATTAGCCCCCCTTGGGGCGGGGATGGCAGACCAGAGAGGCCTAGCTTGTGGCTAGGCCTGGGGACAGTTGGTCCCAAAGATGAGGAGGTGCTTGTGCCTCCTCCCATGGGAGACTTAGGTCTCAGACACTCCCTAAAGAGGGAGCCAAGGCCGGGCCACCACTTGGACAAGGCCCGGGCCGGGAGAATACCGGCTAATCTTTAACTAACTGTGTTACAACAACACAAGAAATGTCCTATGACAACTACTGCAGAAAATAATGATTACACACAAATAATAACAATAAATATGATTCACAAATAAAGTGGAACCTCGGTTTTCATGATTAATCCGTTCGAAAAAGTCTGATGAGAACCGAATCCTACGAAAACTGAATCAATATTTCCCATAAGAAATAATGTAAATTCAATTAATTCGTCTTAATGTTGAATGAGAGGTGAGTAGTATTTATTTGTAAGAAGTCAGTGTAGGTAGCCGGTAGGTGTATCCCAGGTGAGCTACACCTTCCGGCTACCTACACTGCGGCCCAGAGCCACATTATTGCCATCGACATACCTTGTTCACTGAATTTAATCGCTTCTAACAACTACCTTTAGATGCCATCATAAACGAAGGGAGAAATAATGAATAATTCATGCAGAGAATTGTAAACAAAAGTGGGAGTGACTAGGCCAAACGCGGATTCATACATGTTTTCTTTGGTACTACACCAGAGAAAACGTAATGTTTTCCCTCTGCCCGGCATATAAACATGTTGTTTATATGCTTTGAACATGTTGTCGAACGGAAGGAAAACATTACATAATACTAATAATAATCACTCTTGGGCACATTAAATGTCTTATTTTACGTCAATACAGACATTTTCATTAATCCATCCTGGAGTTTACCTGGAGAGAGTTCCGGGGTTCAACGCCAATTTCGTACTTTGCTACGAGTTCTTTTTTTGGCCCCATAGTGGCTTATTTAGCAGTCGCATTCAATAAACAAGCACAAAAAACAATGGATTATTGGCCGAGTCATGCCGATGCATTTGGTACGGACCATTCTCAATTGTACAAAAACTGAGTACGAAACTATCAGAGTGCAAGTAATGTAATTCCCACCACTAGGACTCTTAGTCTGGCTACCCAATGTTCCTGAATAGCTTCAGAAATACCAGTTAGTGAGATCCAGTACACTCACAGGAGCCTACTAAATACTCAGCCCTAATTGATTTGGAATTAGAAGGAGCGAATGTTCGTGGTTTGATTAGTTTATGCAAGTTTCGACCCTCTTCTTCTGACAGCGTTTCGCTATGAATATGATAATGTTATACAATATCTACAAATTGATAAGAAAAGCACATGTACAACAGTTAGGTATCTGTACTGTAAAATGTTTCTCCTACAGAATAGGCTTCTTCAGTCGAACTCAAAGAAGGCAGTAGAGATATAAAGACGATATAATCAGTTCATCACTCTGTAAGACGTAGTCCTCAAGGCTGATGGACTGATTACATCGTCTTTACATCTTTACTGCTTCTGCTACCTCCTCTTTATTCGACTTAAGAAGCCTACTGTGTAGGTGAAATGTTTCTGAATAAAGATACCTAACTGTTGCCCATGTATTTTTTTATCAACGTTTCAATGTTACTCTTCTCTCAACTCTACAATATCACATTTGTAAGTCTCTCTCTGAACTTACAAATACTATTTCCTTAACTGTTAAACTGTTGTGAAGGATAATGGCATCCTCAAGCAGTTTAGAACGTTTATCTTCAACTGAGCAATAAAGGTAATACTGCAAGAATAATTTGTAATATTAATCATTCATGGTTCGACTGTAATTGTTTCAAGTTTAAGATAAATAGAACTATAAATATAATATATTTTTTTGTCTCTATTCTGCACATGACACCATTTGATGTTTATTGTTATGAGCATCACAATGTATACTTCAAATTTTCAACATCTGCATTAATTTTCGAATTAAAAAATGAGTGCCATGACTTATGAAATGACATTCGATTAAATAAAGAAATTTAAGAAAATTCTGCGACATGTTTGGCAAAGTTGGCTGCAGCAGCACCAGGAAACGTTTTAATGTGAACGAGTATCACTCACAGTGAGAGTGAGTGAGTTGCCTCTTCCCAACAGCAGTTATAACTTCCATCATGTATGCAGGTTTTCACTTGTGTCCAAAAACGACGGCAACCATTACCATACAGCGCTCCGTGACCAATTTTTGTTTCCTCATCCTCAAAGGCATAACTTTAGTAACGAAATATATTTCCTATGAATATGTCATTAGACTTGGAACATACAAGGGAAAAGAGAAATATACGTTGTCTACCTAATTGAACATACAAGTTGGCCGTGGTCTTGTAGGCAAAGCTCTCGCTTCACACGCTGTGGGTCCTTGGAAACATTGGGCGTGTTTCCTTACACCTGTTTTCCCTGTTCGCTCATCAATAAAATGGGTACCTGAGCATTAGTCGACTGTTGTGGGTCACATCCTGGGACAAAATTGACCTAATTTGCCATAAATATCTGCATAACAAGCGGCTTTCTATATGGTAGTATGTCAGTGATGTCAGCTAGGCCTGTATACCTTGTGCATGTACTTGTAGAAAAAAAAAGATACATTCGTCGTTTGACCCTCGGGAAGAGCAGACGTGCGAAGAGACTGCCCCCTGCAGTCAGTGTCACTTTGGTTTTCACAAAATGGCGAAGCAGCGTCGACGCCGGGTGAACACTGTCGGCATTGAAGTGGTTCGTGGGGCTGTCTATGCCCATTCGCCTCAGTTTTTACTGCCGGCTATTATCAGGGATACGTACGGTATAGCGAATGAAGAGCTGTACGAGTGGCTTTGAATGAAGCCTATAGGATCTTCGTGAAGTTCCGTAATTCCAGTGTTTATGAGGATATCGTCACCAGATATCAAGACGTTAGTATGCCTGTGAATCCATCTGTAGCGGTGAGATTTCATGATGTGTTCCGATTTTTCACATGGGTGAAAATTAGGAATGTGCCTTTTGAAGCTGATGAGGCGGACCTGCGAGCTGTATTTGAGAAATACGAGACTGTTCATTTGGCAACGATGGGTATGTGGAAGGAGGGCTCGCATGCGGGGATGCCTGAGGGTAGCTTCTCGTTGAAGATGACTTTAAGGCATCCCATTCCTACTTATGTGCAACTGGAGGATTTCAGGACACATGCTGGTGACATATGCAGCACAACGACGTACATGTCGATTGTGTGGCGCCTGTGACCACATTGCAGTGCACTGTCCTCGTCAATGGGACGCACAAGAGATGGATCAACATCAGGAATTGCTGGAGGACCCGGGAACGACTGTGGTGGCACATACCGTGGAGACATCCGGACGTAAGGCGTGAAGTGTGGAAGTAGATGAAGTGATGTCACTGGAGGGTGGGTGCACCACGCTGCCGGGTTAGCGGGGATCTACTCGGCAGGAAAAGGTGACTGTGGGTCAGGTGCCACTTGGTGGAGGAGGGGACGAGGAGGTCACCTTTGATTCGGTGCTCCACAATCTGTTGGGTACCCCGAGAGACATCTCTGTGGAGGGCCTTGTGGGTGCTCTGGAGTCTGCTGAGAACCCCAAGCACGTGGAGGTGGATGTGTCGGAGACTGATGTAGATGTTGCCTTGTAAATTAGAACTGTAGTGGTGGAGGTGCATGAAGCAGGTTTCTAGGAGGTTGTTGGGAAGAGGAATCGAGTCTCTCGGAAGCGAGTGGCTGCTCCCGCAGACATGGAAGATGTGCTTACACCGGCACAGTGAATAGGGAAGAGGGTTTGGGGCGGTGTCGATGGGCATGGCCTTGGAGGGCCCAGGGGTAAAGGACCTGTGAAAGGAGGCCCAAGGGGCCTGACAGGTCCATGGGGGTGTTCAGAGGAATGGGGATAGAAGCTCAACTGTGCATAAAGGTAAACCTCCACTCACAGATTCAAGAGCCTCACTATGAGGCGCTTGGTTTCGAGAATTTATAGTTTGGTGTGGTGTGGATGTGGTGTTCGTCCAAGAACATAATCACAAGCCTGGATGCAAGTTGGCGATAGAGGGTTTTGTTGTCTATGTGGCTCACTCACTGCGTTTGAAAGGAGGTGTGGCAATTTTGCTAAGGGAGGCTGGCCCGTTTACTGTTCATCATTGGGAGGAGGGCAGGGATGGGAGGATTGTTAGTGTTGATGGGTCGTGGGGGAGGGAGAGGGTGTCTTTAGTGTGTGTTTATGGTCCGGCGGAGGGGAATGGTAGGGTTAAAAATTAATTTGTGCGAGATGTGTTGGTCTATCACTTGCCATTGCTATCAGCAGTCGCGGTGGTGGGAAGGGGATTGGAATTGTGTGATTCGGCATAAGGATGTGGAACCAGAGGGGTGGGGTTTTGTTCGAGAATATTGGGTGAATTGTTAAAAGGGGTGGATGTGGGGGGTGTGCAGCATGGGATGTCGCACACACTTTTGCATGGCAGGAATATGTGGCTAAACTGGATAGGAGTTATGTCACTAGAAAAGTTATGGTGAAGAGCATCTGTGTTGTGGATGTGGGGTTGTCAAAAACGACCGTGATTGTTGTTTTGGTGCCGAAGGGTGTTAGTCAGTCAACAGTATGGGGCTACCGTATAATATCACTCATGTGTGGGGACTACAAAATATTTGCGAAGATACTGGGTAATTGCTTAAAGAGGGTCATCAGTAATCATCGAGGGACAATATGGGGTGCCGGGGCATTCTATGTATGAGGGGCATGGGGTCATCAGACATTTTATAGGGTGTGCACGTGGGAATGGGGGTGGGGTGTCAGTGATTGATTGGGAAGCAGCATATGATAGTGTTGAGAGAACAGCGTTGTGGAGCTTTATGAGAAGGCAGGAGTTTGGGGAGAAAATTGTGCAATGGGTGCATACATTATATAGGGAAGCCGGTATGTGTGTGCAGGTTAATGGAAGGGTGGGAACGTGTGTGAACCCTTTTTACAGGGCGGTGGAAAGGTGTGTCCACGAGGGTGAGTGGGAGGATAGGAGTGGTGGACGACCGGGTATCATAGGCTATATTGACTATACAACGGTTCTTGTGCATGGGAGGGAGGGTTTAGAGGGTTTGGGGAGGATCGTGGATGTTTTTGGAGCAGCAACAGGTAAGAAAGTGAATGTGGATAAGTCTAAACTTCTAGGATTGGGTTGGTGGAAAGGGGAAGGACATGTGCATGGAGGGGAGAGGTGGTGTGTAGTGGATAGGATTAAGATTTGTGCAATTGTGTATATGGCTGATGAGGAGATTGTGAGGGAGGAAAATTCCACATGTGTTGTGAATAAGGTGCTGGGGCACTTGAATGGGGTAAGGTCGACACATCTTTCTTGACACCAGTGGGTCATTGTGGTAAATGTTCTTCTGTTTGGCAAATTATGGCATGTAGCTGCAGTGTATCCTTTGGTGTCTGGGGATGTTCGGAGACTGTTGGGTAAAGTTTTTAGATATATATGGGGTTTGGGGTGTGATTGGTAAAGGAGGGAGGTAGTGACACTTCTGGCAGTCAAGGGAGGGCTGGGGTTAATTTCCCTGGGTAATAGGTTAAAAGGTGTTTATGTTAAGCATGAGTTCAGGTGAGAGTGCAGGGAGGGGGGAGGGTTGTGTATGGTGTGAGAGGACATTCAACAGTGGTGGAGGGGGAAGGACTTATGAGATTGTGAAGCAATTTTGCGGGTATTTTTGCAGGCCAGTGCGACAACAAACATACGGGTGGGGTCAGTGGAGAGGAGGGTTTGGCCTCAGGTGGCGGTCACTGTGGAAGGAGCATACCCTAAGTATGTGTAGGACGACATTTGGCGTCGTTTGATTAATCATGATCACATGTGAGGGAAGTAATGTTTCAGTTTCTACATGGGATCTTTCCGTCTTGGGTGGTTTTACAGAACAGACTGATTCGGGAGGGTGGAATGTGTACATTTTGTGGGGAAGAGGAGTCTGCTTTCCATGTAGTCTACTTCTGTGAGCGTTTAGGAGTCGTGAGGGAATGGATGGGAAGGGTGTTTCGATTGGTAGGGGGGGTTATCGGTGTTGAGCCTGGATGTGGGAGGGGTGGAGGACAGGGTTCAAAGGGCAGTGGCTTATGTAGTTGTTGATTTTGTTCATATGTCATGGGCAATGCGAGAGATGATGGTAGGAGAATGGCGCAAGGCATTAGCAGCATCTTTTTATAAAACTAAGTGTAGCAATAAAGAAATATACGGGGGAAGGTGGGAGAGGGATTTTCCAGGTGGTTACAGGGTTTTTACCTAGGGGGATTTGTGGAAGCTGTAGTTGTAAGGGGTAGGAATGGGCTGGTCTCCCAGGGGAAGAGACATATTTTGAGTGTGAACCGAGAATGTTTGCCAAGGAAAGAGCACCTGTTTACGGGGAGTACGTGCCATGTGGATTGAGGGGAAGGGGTTGAAGATTTGCATGTGGGGGTGATACACCTATGGGTGTAAAGTTCTAGGGATCTGGTGTGCATGTAGGTTGAGGTTTTGGTATGGTGCTAGGTGAAGTTGTTGGAACACAACTTGGTGCAATTAAGACATAATTTATTGTTTATTTTTTTTATCTAACTTCTATGTACGATATGTTTCATTTGTGCATGTAAGACGCTGCTTATCATGTATTGTATTTTGGGGTCTCTCAGATTGGGGACCATGCTGTGACGTTATATATGAAATTCTGTATTACCTGTGTTTCTGTAAGGAGTTATTATAATTTTCTGCTGTGATTCTTATGACCACCTTACTAGGTCGCAACGTTTAGATTGTAATTTTGGAGAAGCCTTTCGTGTATGATGACTCAGTGGACTCGGGTCGGGTCCTAGATGTGTAACGTATGGAGAATGTTCAGGTATGGTTTGGTGTGTCTGGTGTGTGGTTGAGGGGGGGAATGTGGGTAGTGTTGCCGCATGTGTGGCCTTTTTATGTTTCTTTATTTTCTTTTGTGTAACCTATATTTAGGAACATGGAGGCACTGTTTTACATGTTCTGTATAGTCCTTGTGGCTTAGCGCTTCTTTTATTAAAAAATATTTTACAGTTATAGATGATTCAGAGGATTGTGTACACGTACCATCTGTTACAACTTTTTTTACATCTTGTTCAAATCTTGTACTTTTTACATAAAAAAAAGCTGCATCTTCAGCTGGCGCTGGACAAGCACCTAAAGTCAGTTCTGAATCACCGGGCTTGGCTCGTACGTTGTTGCGTGCAGCAGCACACAGCCTGTTGATCAGTGCTGATCCACCAGGAGCCTGACAACGGCCGGGGGGGATGACCGGAATCTTCTCCAGTACTCCAGTAAAACAAGCGGCTTTCTATATGGTAGTATGTCAGTGATATCAGCTAGGACTATATACCTTGTACATGTACTTGTAGAAAAAAAAAGATATTACAAGGGAAAAAGGGATATATACATTGTTTTCTAATTTCATTTACAGATATGGTTACCAATAACTTACCATGTGACCTCAGGAACTCTTTCTCCAGCATGGAAAAGGAAATATTGCAGAGTTGGGTTTTGTCTACATGCCTTCCAGGTACTGATGGAGAGATGAAATAAATGGGTGAACCATTCCTTTGCAGCTTGTCAATGTACATTTGCAGTGTCTGTGGGAGGTCCTTCAGTCTTACCAGGTCGGCACCCTTCCATTCGCGAACTGGAATTGTAACAGTTATAAAGTACTTATTATATTATCCCTGAAAACTGAAGCAAAAGTGTTATTGAAAAATCAAAGAATGAAATCATTTATTTTATTATATTTCAGAAAAAGCATTGAACTTGTAGGAGACATACACCCCCTGGGAAGTGGAAGGAAATCATGTTCCATCTAATTTTAGATTTTTTTAATTTGGAGAATATTAAAACATTAAATTTATGCTGATCCACAGTGGTGGACACAGTTCCACTAATCTGCTAACCGCTAATTAGTGGAACTAACTTTTTGCTTAGCGGATTAGCATTTTCGCTAACTTCGGAAACCGTTAGCGGACCAATTAGCTTCCAGTAAGTAAAGTTCCGCTAGCTTTGAATCCACTAAACAAAAATTCATGTGTTGTTGGTAGTCGGCGCAGTTTGTTTCTGTCTGTTGTTGGCGTTTCTCTAACAGTCAGGCACGCTATTGACTACGTGTAAACGTGACTTGTCAACACAGCAGCATCATCTGAACAGCATTGTTATAGTCTTACAGTGTCAGCGATCACCGGGGTGAGTTGTCACTTATCGTTATGAACAGAGGAGACGTTTCTGTTCCGTCTGAGGGTGTTGTTGAGGAGTCTGCAGCGGTTGTGGTTAAAGCAGAGGCCACTCAGGCCGAGGGCTAGGAGTCGCAGAACCCGTGGCCCCACCTATAGGCAAAGATATCTTGAGGGCCAAGAGAGCCACCCTGTCAGCCGAGAGGCTGATGCTTATGAAGGGCAACCAGCATCACATCAAGGGATGAAGAAGGCCCAACCAGAGTAGTAATCAGCCCAGCCATCATCTGATCTTGGCATGATACCCATCCTATGCATTTTGTACAGTAAATAAAGTATATGTTGGATTTAAACTGATATTTGATTTCATTTGCTCATTTAACTATTTGTGTGCACCTGTATTACTGTATCGCTGGTGCAGCGATAAGTTGTGTGCACCTGTATGGCTGTATCGCTGGTGCAGCGATAAGTTGTGTGCACCTGTATGGCTGTATCGCTGGTGCAGCGATAAGTTGGCCTTAAAGGTTTGAAGTTTAAGCACGATTTTCAACTACTTGTTTGTAGTTAACTGGGTTCAAAATCTAAATTAAGTTAAATGCAAACATGAACAGAAACAAAATAATACGAACGAATACAATGAGCAACTGGAAGTACTGAAGAAAACAATCAAATAAGGTAACTCAGTGTATTCGGGTGCTATGGGACTTCAGTACAGCGACAAGTGTCCTCGCCGGTCACTCACGTTACATCACAAAATTAAACAATCGCTATTTTCGCACTAGCGCCACTTGATTATCATATGACCTTGACATTCTATATCTCATTAGGAAGCTCTCCGGATCTGTTCTAAAAGTCTTAAAAGTGGAAGTAAAAATTCATGTGAAAAAGTTAGCGGTTAGCATTTAGCATTAGCGTTAGCGGCCTATTTTTTTTAGTTTGCGGATTAGCAATTAACAATGTTAACAATGGGTTAGCTGTGCCCACCACTGCTAATCCACCAGAAAAAAATCCAAATTTCTCCTGACAAACAAATGACACCTTCCGCTACCTGCAATTTGTGCTGCCAAGTCAACACTGATTCTGCGACCATCTCTTGTTGTAATTTCCAAGTCAAGAGCAGCAAGACCTTCCTTATACTTAACACTTTGCACCTGTTGAACCATTTTCCTGGACGTCACTATGTCCACACATCTACTCAATCTGCAAGTAAGGCATAAAGAAGATACCATTGTTGAAGTGGAAGCTGCATACGACAGAACAAGTCATTTACGTATTCTGAAACAGAACTGACACTAATTTAATTATTTTCCATTACATTTATGATCCAGATTTCTTGTTGTAATATTTGGAAACATGAAATATACAAAAATATGCAACACACATGCCTTGTGTGTGTGTGTGTGTGTGTATATAAATATATATATATATATAAAAATATATATATATATTATATATATATATATATATATATATATATATATATATATATATAATATATATGTCGTGCCCAATAGGCAGAACTTGCGATCTTGGCTTAAATAGCAACGTTCATCTTGCCATATAGGACAAGTGAAAATTTGTGTATGCAATAATTTCGCCAAAATCATTCTGAACCTAAAGAAAAAAATATATTTCACTGTGTTTGTTTAGTATTAAATTATTGTAAATAAATCTAAAATATATTTAGTTGGGTTAGGCTAAAATAAATTCTTCTTGTTATAATAAGCTTAGGTAAGTTTTCTAAGATTCTTTTGTAGCAAATTATAAATTTTTACATTAACATTAATGAAAAAAATATATCTTTAAACGTATAAGAGAAAATTTTAGAAAGGACTTAATTTTAAATGAGTTCTTGCTAATTGACCAGTTTTACATATTCGGCACGACATATATATATATATTATATATATATATATATATATATATATATAATATATATATATATATATATATATATAGGTGAAACTGGTAATTTGCAAGAACTCGTTTAAAAAAGTCCTTTCTAAAATTTTCTCTTACATATTTAAAGATTTTTTTTTCATTTATGTTAATGCAAAAATTAATTTTGTTGCAAAAGAATATTGGGAAAACTTACCTATCCTTCTTATAACAAGCGCAATTTAATCTAGTATAATCCAGTTGAATATATTTTATACAAGTTTACAATAATTTGATAAATGCAATGCAATGAAATATATTTCTTTGGATAGGTTCAGAATTATTTTTGCGAAATTATTACATACTTAAATTTTCGCTTTCCTTATTCGGCCTCAAGACACCACACAATGTACATGTCACCTTATCCACTTAGACATCAATCCTACAAACAACATGAGCCTAGCAAACTAGGCTTGTTTTCTTGTTGCAAGGACACTCGTTGCAGTGGTATGCTCAAGAACTAATTTCAGCCTCCTCCTCTTTGAATAACCTCAACAAGCAGTCTGTATAGCAGTAAAACCACGAAACAAGTGGTTTTGTCCTTTGGTCGAATCCTCGCCTGCCGTAATTTGGTAAAAGATTCAGAACCACTCGTTTCATGGTTTCGCTGCTATGTAAACTGCTTGTTGAGGCGGGTACTCAAACAGGAGGAGGCTGAAATTAATCCGTGAGCATATCACTACCATGGGTGTCCTCGCAACACGAAACAAGCCTAGTTTGGTAACCTCGCATAGTTTGTACGCTCGATGGCTGAACGGATAAGGTGACATGTACATTGTATTCACTTGAGGCGGGACTATGTGTCATGGGGTCGAATCCTGGCTTGCTACAGTTTGGTAAATACATACATATTATTGTGAACATATATATATATATATATATATATAAAATATATATATAATATATATATATAGATCAGTGTTTGTGTATATTTCGCCTGCTTTTGCGAATTCCTTGATATATATATATATTATATATATATATATATATATATATATATATATATATATATATATATATATATATATAATTTAAAACGTAATATTACAACATAAAAATTAAATATATAGAAAGCCACCATCCCTTAACAAACAGGTATCCAAAATAGAAATCATAAGCCCAGTACACCATATGAAGTGCTCAACATTCCGACAGTCGCTATATACACTTGGAGTCACCTAGGATGTTCATCATGCATAAATCAAAATCAGATAAGAGCTTTGTGGCCACATATGTCATCCTAGTACAAGAATGCACTAAAAGACATGCTATAATAAATCATATAGCACTATCTCCTCCACCACAATAGATATTATATAATCACATAGCTAGACCTATAGCATATATGTTTACCAACATATTTTATAATACTTAAAACATTATGACAAAATATTACAAAACATCAATACACGATGTTACATTACAGTGGTTCAAACCCATAATAACAATATATAAATGTCACATTAAAAGTGGTAAAAAACCCATAATAAAATATATAAATGTCACATTACAGTGGTACAAACCCATAATAACAATATATAAATGTTACATTACAGTGGTACAAACCCATAATAACAATATATAAATGTTACATTACAGTGGTACAAACCCATAATAACAATATATAAATGAAAACAAAAAAATATAAAAGTAAATCGCAACACAAGGAAGCATATAGTTTAACATGCAGACTTAAAACCATGCTCAGGGAAAAAAAATAAACTTTATAGAACCCATATGTAAACACCCCCTGGCAATAGTTACTATAAGAATACAACATCACTAACCCCCCCCCCTCCCCCCCTATTCCCCCAAACAGCCTGTATCTGCAACCATCATAACCAAAAACTAAAAAAAACTTAACATGGTTTAAAAAATATAAACTTCTGAAACACGCTTCATACATAACAACATTCCTGCATAACAGAAATAAAAATATAAAAACATTTTTACATACGTAAAAAAAACCACAATAAATACGCGGTATACACAGACACAACATACCCTCCAAGCAGAAATTAAACCCCCTACTAACAATACACAAAAAAAATAGTCTACGTAAGCTTCCATCACTCATAGAAGTATAATTTTAAAAATAATATAAAAAATTAAAACCCAAATAAAATCCAAAAAAAAAAAAAAAAAAAAAACAACATATCTTAATAAAAAGCTTTCTTAAACAGCTTATACTAGCCACACCCTGAAAACACCACACCCACCCCTGCAACACACAAGCCACACTCCTCACACAAAACAGCCACACCCCTGCAACACCACACCCAAAACCCTGCAACACCCACCACACCCCTGCAAACACTACCACCTCCGAAACACACACGCCACCCCCCCCCTGAAAGAACATGCCCCCACCCTGAAAACACACACGGCCCACCCCTGAAAAGAAATAGCCACACCCCTGCAAACCCCCACCCCCCCCTGCAAGACACACGCCAACCCTCAAACACACAGCCACACCCTGCAAGACACATAGCCCACTCCTGCAACCCACACCCCCCCCTTCAAACACATACCCACACTCCGCAAACCACACCACACCCCTTCAACACACACAGCCACCCCCCAAACACACAGCCACACCCGCAACACACACACCCCCCCTGCAACACACACACCCAAAACCCCTGCAACAACACAGCCACACCCCTGCAAGACACACAGCCAAAATCCTGCAACACACACAGCCAACCCCTGCAACACACAACCACCCCTGCAAGACACATAGCCCCCCCCTGCAAGACACATTCCACACCCTGCAAGACACACAGCCACACCCCTGCAGAAAAATAGCCACACCCCTGAAAGACAATACCACACCCCTGAAAGACACAAGCCCACCCCCTGCAAGACACATAGCCACCCCCCGAAGACACATACCACACCCCTGAAAACCCCAATGCCACCCCCCTGCAAGACCATAGCCACACCCTGCAAAAACACATACCCAAACCCCTGCAAGCAATAGCCCACCCCGCAAGCACATACCACACCCCTCAAACCATAGCCACACACCTAAAAGACACATAGCCACCCCCGCAAACACACACCCCACACTCCTGCAAAAACCCACCCCACACCCCTGCAAACCAACCACACCCCTGCAAACCATAGCCACACCCCTTAAGACACATAGCCACACCCCTGCAAGACACACAGCACACCCCGCAAGACACATAGCCCACCCCTGAAAGACACATAGCCACACACCTCAGAACAAGCCACACCCCTTAAGACACATACCACACCCTAAAGACACATACCACAACCCCTGCAACAACATAGCCACCCCCCTGCAACACACATAGCCACACCCCTCAACACACTAGCCACACCCCTGCAAGCACGGAAGTAAAAATTTGTTAAAAAAAAGTACTTTGCATAATAAGAATTTCACAGTCATCATGCCCCAAAAGACCTCACAGCCCCAAAAAGTAAAACTTCATACCTTGCTAAGTTAAAGCTCCATCTTACTCATACCATTTTCCCCTGAAGGGAACTAACTCCTCACAACCCCGTTTTCATACCCCCAAAGAAAAAATAAAAAGAATCATAAACTTCCCCACCCCAGGTCTCAAACTCTCACTTCACATAACAATGCTTTAAAAATTCCCCTGACACCAACCACCACTTACCCAAAACAACTCGATTACACCTTTGCCTCCAAATGTACCAATCACGCCCCCCTTCCTTAAAGAAGCCAGCCCGTCCCCCCCTAAAATTTGAAATGCCCTAAGTCCTCCACTCGAAACACGATATCCTTTTCTGAAATTTTGAAATCCCCTTTATTTCCATGAATCCTTTTTCCCCTTTGGCCCAAAAAATATCGCTGCCGGGGTCTTTTTTCGCTCCCCCCCACCGGCGCTCTCCGAAAAACCCACGAAATACCAAGTCGGCTACCGATAACCCATCGCATTTTGCAGGCACCCCCACCCAAGTTTAAATCCCTGAACACAAAACCACCCCCCCCCCCAACGTAAAAACTCTGCAAACCACCTCCAGGTTCCAACCTTTCCAAAAAAAAATACTGCAGGGAAAAACAGGCAATACCCCCCACACCAAAAAACATCCCCCCCCTCCGCCACCCTATTACCATCCCCCCCCCCGGGGCAAATAAATTATGGAGAAATTTTTAAACTTTTACCCCCCGCACCACAGCCTTCAATCAAAAACCCCTTGCAGGGGCCCCCTATATCATTTCCTAAACATCGGATCCAACCCAAAACCCTAAGCAACTACCCCCCCAC